GCCCCGCGAGGGCCACGAGAAAATGGCGCCGCCCTGCGCGGCCGCTTCCGCCCGCAGCCAACATGTCGGCCGGGGCGGCGCCGCGGGGGCTCACGGGAGGGCGGTTGGAGCGGGCGGGAAGGCTGAGGCGCCGTCATGGAGTCGGAGGCGGCGGCGCGGACGCTGCCCAGCGCCGGGCGCCTCTCGCGGGGGCCGCTCTTCGGGCGGGCGCGCGGCCGCTTCACGCTCGGCTCCGGCGGGGCGCAGCCGCCGCCATCACAGGTGGGACCCCCAGAGCGTCCCGCCGGAGGGGAAACGCGCCCTTGTTTCCTCAGTCCTTGCTTCTTTCATCCTTTTTTTCCCGTCCTTTGTTTGCTTATTTATTTATTTTTTTCCGTCCTTTGTTTGCTTATTTATTTATTTTTTTCCGTCCTTTGTTTGCTTATTTATTTTTCGCCTATTTATTTATTTTTCGCTTATTTATTTATTCATTTTTCCCTCATTCATTTATTTTTCACTGATTTATTTGCTCTCCCCTCCTGTAACGCACCCGTTTTGCCCCGCTCTCTCGCCCCAGGAGGAGGCCGATCCCCAGAGGGCCGCGTCGYTGCTGCGCAAGCAGTGGAGCCTCTACAGCGTGACGCCCCTGTACAGGTTCTCGGGCGCCCGCCTGAAGGAGTACGCGCGGCTGCTGGGCGCCTTCATCGCCGCCGAGAAGCAGAAGGGCCTGGCCGTGGGCGAGGGGGTGGACCTGGGCGTCCAGGYGACCTTCTCCAGCCTCCCCGAGCTGCGCGGCGGCCACCGGGACCAGCCCGCCGTGCTCGTGCAGGTGACGACGGCTCCGCTGGCGCCACGGGGGTTACCCCGAGAGCTGGGGCTTGCCGGGCCCGGGGGTTGTTAGCCATGGGGTGCTGGGTGACGAGAAGTCTTTCAAACTCCGGCTGCGTGCAAAAATAACTCCGCTCTCTTCTGAGACTTAGCCAAAGTGGATCCTGCTTGTTTTTGGAAGGAAAAGCTCATAAATAATGGATGTGCTCAGCTGCATTTTCTGAGTTCGAGTCCTCGATAAGAGAATGAACACAAGAGTCAGCGCTCCCGAGCTTGGCCTCATTTCTTAGCTCTGCAGTCTTGAAAGATCTTGGACGGGTTATTTAACTTCCYGGATGAGTTATTCAACTTCTTGGAGTTGGTATAATCCTGTCCCCCTCTGCCGTAGCTCAGGCCCTATTAACGTTTCTGAAACGCTCAAGTGAAAGGCACTACTGAATGCRAAGCTCTGCATGGCAGTGCTGTCGAGTCTCACCACCCGTTGGCTTTTCCGAGTTAGGCAGCACATTGCAGATCTGGGGACCCTGTCCTTATTACTCTGCTATTTTCAGTAGGAATACCCAGATTCTTTAGGAATGTAATGGACAGAATAACCATGCAAGCTTTCSAGGAACAGATGTTGCATGTGAGGTYCTGTGAAGAAACTCCTGATCTATTTACCAGATAAAGTATGAAAGTTGCTSTATAGCTGTCATTAAACAGTCCTTTCTTTTCCCCATCCCAGCTTTCTTCAAGATCAGTTTCCCCCAAAAGCTCCGACGAGAAGCTCGTGTGGTCAGGCTGCTTCTGCTGCGTGGCTGGAGAGGACTTTTCGGAGAACGTGCCCGAGGACTTCACCTGCTTGCCGCTGTTTCTCGCTAACGGTGCTGAGAGCTACCTGGCCATGGTCGGGAGCTGGTTTCAGAAGACTTTTGACTGCCACTTCTGCCGGCTATCCATCAGCCCTCTCAACCTCAGCTGGATGGCAGCCATGTGGACTGGATGCGGCGTGGAAAAAAACGCATGTGCCACAGAACTCCTTTTCTCTGTTCCCTGCCTTCCCCAGCCTCTGGATATATCCTATGCCATCCACCCAGAAGATGCAAAGGCTCTGTGGGACACAGTTCAGAAAACCCCAGGAGAGATCACTCAAGAAGAGGTCAGCCTGTACATGGACTGCCTCTACTCTCACTTCCACAGACACTTCAAGATCCACTTGTCAGCTACAAAACTGGTCAAAGTTTCCACAGCGATTGCCTCCGCACACTGTAACGGGACTATAAAGGTGAGGTTTTTAAGTAAACGTGCTATCCTAGCCACCGCTGGCCAAACTAAATATGCCTTCCTTTTTAGAATGAAGTTGCATATTTCTTATGCATAATTCCCCACTAAAAGTTGGTTGAAAYCTCAACTTTGTTTTAGTCTTAATTAGTTCTGGAGTTTCAGACAACATAGGGCAATTATCAACATGGCATTCTGCTGCAGCAGAACCTAGTAACCCTGCTTTGGGGCTAGAACTACATGTAGTAGCTTACTTTTTAGTAAGCAGTATTGAGTTGCAATTTTTGGCTCTTGCTGGCGCGTGTTCAGCTGCAGTTTCTATTAACAGCAGCTGTACTGGCGTGTTCCAAATAGATTCTTTTACTAAAACTCTATTTTCAACATTTTAGCTTGAATTTTCAAGAATTCCATGCCATCTTTCCTCCTTTCTTAAAGCTGGAGGTTTAGCTTCCTTGCAGTATATGAAAGRCTGTGTTGCTGTTACGACTGCTCTTTTTTCATCTTAAGCGATGTGACTTCTGTGCCACATTAACCACTGCAGTTTTCTTTAACATCCGCTCTTTGTTCTTTTACAGTTTCTACAAAGCAAATACCTACCTGGAGTGCTGAAGCTCCTGACAGAACTAGCAATCTCCCAGATACAGTGAGACTTGTTTCTGCTCATCTTCATTCCCCCAAAGGTTTGCCTGCTGCAAGACTAAAGCTGAGAATCCCACTGGAAACTTGCTCCTGCAGAACTTTCCTTTCTTGAACTCCTGTATTCAAAACTGTAACTAGCAGTAATGGAACATCATCATCCTCCCCAGGAGAGAAGAACAGATGTTGCTCTAATGGAAAGGCCACAGTACTTGGAGAGAAAACACTGCAAACTCTCAATGCACCTTAATGATAGATATTTCTGCTGTTGTTTCAAATGTCAGGTGGATTTTTCACCGAACTAGACAGCCCCTGCAACAGGGCCCTTTTTCTTAGCTGAACTCAGTCATAATCTTGGGCCAAAATCTAAATGCCAAGTCAAGCCTGCCTGTGGAAATGATGAATTTTATGGGGTAGAAAAATCCCTGTTTTTAACCTCAGCCTTGTGAGGCTGCGCAGTCTTTTTAAGGCCAGCATATAACAGTAGCAAAGTGTATACTCACGCCCCAGATGGGTTTAGAGAGGAAAGGAGGGGGGAAAAAAGAAAAAGAAAAAAGGCATTTAACTGACAACTGCCTTGTTTCCAGCTCTGCTTCTCTTCACAGAGAAGCTGCTGCCTTGAAAGTCAAGGACTGGCTATAAGAGAGTTGCGGTGTTGTGCCTAATGTTTTATCTCCTGCATTGTAATCCCATAGTCTTGAGAGCTCTCTAGGCTGAAGCTATAGGTGCTAACACATTATACTTGCTCTCCCTTGAGGTTTGGATAGCTAGTGCATAGTGCTTGCCTACAGTTTAAATGTACATCTTAAGTGCCATGTGGTTTTATTATTATAGTACTAAATAAAGAGTATTTACTTTTTTGCTATACTCAGGTCTTAAAGAAAAATCTCTACCTAAATAAGCAAAATACAAGAGTAAGTTTTATGTGCAAGCTGCAGGTAACTGAACTGTTTAGAAAGCTTTCTAATAGCTARCCTAACTTTTACTCACAATTGAGAAATGCACTTATAATAGCACAAGCTCAACTGCTCTGACAAGTGCTGTACAAATGAAGCTATGACCCTCTTGTAAGCGAGGATGAATTTTTTTTTCCTTACCACTCCTCTGTCTTTTCATCAGCTGTCACCACGTGGTTGCTACAGTYGTCCCCTCCCCTGCAACATGCCAGGCACCAACCATGCAACCCCTCTCGAGGAACATAACTCCRCGTTCTCTTTGTCATCTAGTGCCACTAAAGGAGACTTGTGCAAGCAGAATAAAACAATTAGCCAAAAATTCATGCCCTAACTTTCTTTTATGGTTAGTAGCCTTGTAAAGGCTGCAGTCTGTAAACCAAGGAATCTTGTTCTTTGCTTTAGGTACAGACTAATACAARATCTGAGAAATGTCTACAGCAGAACCCTTGTATTTTTGTATTTTAATACAGGCCTCTTCAGCTTCCAGGAGTGATACTGCACATGCTTAAAGCAGCAGCTTAGGAAAGTAGCTGCTTCGTCTACCCCCAGGGCAGGGCTGGAGCAGAGCTACTTCCTTCTCTTTTCACATGACCATCTATAACCTGGGATTAACAGAACTAGATTGGGCCTGATACTACAGATCCCTTCTAGGAAAAGCTGCTTCTGAATAAGGTGAACAAGTCTTTGAGGCTGCCACAGAACAACAAGTTTTAAGGCAGTTTGCTCAAGCAGCATTTCAAACAGCATCAATATCCAAAAACATGCAAGTGACCTGCTGTCCTTAGACAAACTGCATAAAAGCGTTGTGTCCTGTTTTCAAACAAAGAAGCACACAAAGAACAGCATAGAAGAAATTTATTAAGATAGCACTATTTATACAAGTTACTCATGCTAGAAAAAAGCATAAATGATACATGTAAACATTTGTTTACAGAATACTTATTTTTCCTTGTAAAGGTGCAAATGATCTTCATATGTAAACACAAGAATACCAACCTTTAGGGGAAAAGAGGGGCTTTTAAAAAGTTTGAATGACCCATTTATTACTGTAGTGTATTTTTTACTATATTCAAGAACATTAAAATGCCAAGAATCAAACCATGACGTTAAAGAACTCAAGATGTCAGCAGTGCCTTGTTCATCTCAAGAATTCACAATCCTCTTTAAAAGTCAGATTTGGAAAGGTCCAAAGTTACATATCAGGTGCAACAACTCACCGTTTGGCACTGGGTGGCCCTGTCCGTACAGGCAAATATGTCAGAACCTCCAAGTCTAGAGTGGAGCTGCTCCTTCCACCTCCACCTGCCAACTCCAGTGGCCTCTTCCCTCTCCCCTCTAACGAGCCTCACACCTTTCCCTGCCCTCCAGCAAACACAGGTGAAGTGCATGAAAACCAGTGGAAGGGTGGGCACCATCTCCTCACAGTCACTGTTTTCTAACAGGAATTCTGAACACACAGAAGGGGTCAGGGGGCGACTAAGATGATGCTGGTCTAAGGTTTTTTCAGCAGGAGCTGGCTGAGGGTCTGCCACGGTAGCAAGAACCTGAGAAGTGAGCACTTACCTAGGCTAGTCAGAATTCACAAGTGGTACCTGCATTGCAGCTTCACACAAGAACTGATATCCAGCAGATATCAATGAGAAAAGGAGTGAGAAAAGGGTTTTACAGGTGAGCAGTGACAAGTTGTTTCTAGGTTCATATACAGGGGAGGGGAGAGAAAAAAAAAGCTTAACCTTTGCACCATACACTGCACAATAAAAAAGGCATCATTTAAAATCCTTTTCACTCTCACCCTCTTTTTGGGCACTTCACTGATTCAGCCGATAGGTGGGGAGTTCCAGTTCTACCTCCAGCAAGCCAGATAAGACACTYGGGGCACCCATCTTCAGAGCTCTCCTGTACTCAACGAGATCCCAATACACACAACAAGGGCTGGAACCACAACAGCCTGCAGGACATAGCCCTGCCCTAACCCTCAGCTTGTCAAAACAGAAACCGCACATACACGTGCACATATACATATATAAAATATATCTATGCACACATCTATATGCATATAAAAAAGCTGGAATCAACCATTGTGAGCGATACAAAGAAAATACATGATACAAATCAAATGAAAAAATAAATATACTCTGTGCACAGAAAGGTTTCTGCGCAAAGGTGGCACCTTGCAGGTCAAGTACTTTTTTGAAGCTCTCTGTAAATAAGGCAAAAGCAATGTTTGCTGCATCACCTTCCTCCTTCGCCCATGTCAGCTGCTCACAGGAGGAGGGAAAACAGGGAAACCCTCCTCTTGTCAGACTCCCGGTATAGCTTGTAGTCCCTACGTTGGTATTGTTTGCACTATAACGACTTTAACAGTTTGGTTTATCCAAAAATGCAGGCTATTTGGAAAAAAATAAGGACATAAGCAACACTCCTACTTCTGTCCAGTGGTTCCCCGGAGTCTGACAACGCGATCCTCTCCTGGGCGCACGCTCACTGAAGTCRTTTTTATAATCTGCTAGAAAGAGTCACTGGCAAAGAGTTACCTTGGACCTAGACCAACCGTTCGTACTAGAGCTGCAAAGAGGTCCAGTGTCAAGAAGTCTCTTCAGTTTTTCCAGGAAGGAGAGCCACGGGTCTCCCTCCCTCTTGCTGCTTACCATATATGAGATTCACAGTGTGTCATTTTGATAACTCCTACGCCTCCTCCCAGCCGCCGGTAGTTCATGCCTCCGTACAACCTGCAAAGACAGGGCTCCAGTGACCACAGGTTCAGCTCCTTCACGGAGCTGCTGCAGGAAAGAGCGACCCAGCCCTTGTTCTCGTTTCTTCTCGGCCTTCAGGTAAGGTGGACCACAATTACTAAGCAGGGCAGCAGTCTTTGTATATGCTTCCAAGGTAAATATAATATATTTGCTTACATCTTTCTCTAGAAAAGAAACAGGAATTGCTTCTTGGYTGGATGCTCAGCAGTTCTCTGTTTAAGTAATCACTTTCTGCCTGGTTACATGCAAGATAAAAAAAAATGATCTTTGTTGGTTGTAGTTTATCCTCAGGTACGTTTTGGGTAAGAGAGGAACAAGGAGATGCTCCTTCCAATTACATTAATTTCTTTTACGTTTCTGATAACCTATATTCAGCTGATCTCACTCAAGATTTAGCACATCCCAAACACCATCTGTTTCTCCGAGATATTTCACTGAAACAGTGCCTCCATTTCATATGGAAATCTGCTCCCTGTGGATTCCTGTATCCTACTCTTTCCAGCTGCAAACTCCACTCGGTGCCTCTACAATCTGCTGGCAGAAACACCAGAGGCAAGTTCTTCAAGTAACCCCTTCCAGCGCCATTTGTTAGGCCCAAAATGCACAGCAAGCAGTTGGACTACACAAAAGAAGCCCTTACTGCAATAAGGCCAACAAACAAACAAACAAGGACCACGATGCTAATCAGCTATATCTAATTCAGTAGGGAAAACACAGACTAATACCTTAAAACAGCTGCCTAAACTTCTGCCTGGGCAGTAACCCCGACCTCTAAATGCTTTATTTACCACTATAGTTGCTGTAAGTAGCTGAAATCTCTCAGCTAAGGAATCTGAAATGCATATTACTCTACTCAGCTGGTTTTCTATGCAATTCAAAAGGCATTGCCCAAAAATCAGTATACAGGGGCCTCTTCCTACACTGTTTATGACAGATTATCTCAGCAGAAAAGCGTTAATTTTCTAGCATTAGTAGTCTAGAAGGAATAAAGATATTAATTTCTTACTAACCCGCACACTTGACATTACTAAAAGAAAGAATATAAATAAGAGCCTGAAACTCTGCACTAATTAGGCTTGTGAATAAATATGCAGACAATTGCTTTTAAGTGCAGTTATACCTGGAAAAGAAACAAGAAGAAAAAAAACCAAACTCTTCCTGTTCAATACATGTTTTCCCATCAGGAAAGGTTCAAACTGTTCTGTTTCAGCTCTTCCTGAAATATTTGGAAATCAGAGCCTCAATTTGAACACCAAAATGAGTAGGCCAAATACTACACCATGACAGTGAGCTCTTTCTGCTAGGGGCAAGCTTATTTTTATTAGGAAGCAAGAGCAGACTCATTCCAAAATAAAAATAACAGGTCGACCTCCTTCAGTGTGGCCCAGTTTAAGTTCAAAAGCAGCACTCAAACAAATCACATTTTAGCACTGGCTTTTGTTTGTTACCCAGCAAAACTGTCAAGTCATTTATTTTCTCTGAGTCTCAGTAACCTACCTATGCAGCATTTTCCTACCTGCAAAAGATGCACTGAGACTTTACTTCCCMTTTGATCATTAAATTTTTTGATATCCTCAGATGGGGAAAAAAAAGCCAAACAACAAAAACAAAAAAATCACTACAGAAAATACTTTTTTTTAAAAAAAAAAAAACCTTAAAGTGGAGTTGATGGCTAGAACCAGAATTCAAGCAAAAATCTCCAAGACAACGTTTCCCAACAGCCCATTACTACAACAGTCAGAGGGTGCYATACCTAGATGGTGTCTTGGCATACTGAAGTATTTGATTTCTATCCATGATTATATGGAAAAGTCATCTTGATAGTGACGGGCTCTGTAGCCAAGCACCACCTGCACTCATAAATACAAACCTAACAGAAGGTTGATATTCTGTGAAACGCTGTAAATGACAAATACCCCTTTTACGTAGTTACTTCTCAGCCCTGAATGACATTTCAGAAATAATGGGAAGTGTGTAGAGCTGAAGGAAGTTAACCACTTCTCAAGTTTTTTAGATGCGGATTCTCCTTCATGCACTTTCACGTAAGCCAACAAGCCACACCGTGACTGCCGCACCAGCTACTCCCCCAAACTCCCTATGATGCCACACTTCACACGTCTAACTTATCTGGAACAGCTCCAAACACTGACTGGAGCGCCACAGCCAGAAGATGTTATTTGACTCTTTCACATCTTAAACGTTACCTCCACGTGTTGGCATCTGGATCAAACACCTCAATGGTCTTCAAGTACGTTGTCCCATCAAAGCCCCCCACTGCCATTAGCTGTCCATTCACCACGGCGAGGCCCACCTGGAAAACAACCATCACAGGCAGTACTTATTTAGGTGTGATGTTTACCATATTCTGAAAACAAGAGTTCAAATGGAAATATTAAAGTCTTCGATAACCAAGTTTGGGGAAAGACATGGCCTGCAGCAGAGGTTTTGGTGCTGAAGAAAAAGGACAAAAAAAAAGTAGMCAAAAGTTTATCTAGCTAGATGCATCAATAGGTGCATCTAACTGGAACATACTGGCACAGAATGACACATAATGTAAAATAAAAACAAAGAAAAAGGTGGACATCGATCACAAAAGAGAATATCTTAGAGGAGAAATAAAAAAGGGCTCCCTTTATTACCAGCTACAAAGCTACTGAAATCTCAAGCTGTTCTGTGGTCTTGGAAATCACTTCAGTGAAAACATCCTGACACAACACATAAAATAAGGCCAGRACTCTACGGAAAAGGGCCTTTGTTTTGGCATTGAGGAAGCTAAAGAGAACTCAGGAGGCCTACAGAAAAAGATGCATCTATTTACCTAATTCTACAAAAAGCAAATATAGAAGCTCATGACAAGTAAACACCTGATCTTCAACTACAGAGGACAACGTTGAGCTGTATACTACATGCTTTGACGAGGAAAATAAGTCTATATGCTCCCTGCCCCCAAAACAAGTTATGAATCAAGTTATGATTCATACTTGCCTCAGACACAGGAATACTAATGTACAGACAATTAATCCACTCTGTACTATATAATCCAGCATCCAACGTTAAAGATTCGTAACATTTGCATCTGCCCAAGCACTACGACTGCCTAAACCACTATGTTAATCTTTTCTTCACATGTCTGTAGCAAGCAGGAGGATTAGCAGCTGATGAAGGCATGCTGTCATTTCCCACACAACACCGTGAGGAGGCAGCAAGCTAGATAAGAGCCTGGAAACTCTGTTCCCACACAGATCTCACAAGGCAATGAGAAAGACTTGACGAGAAAGTTGGATCTCACTGCCCAGAGGTTTCCRAACTCTTCCTTCTGTGCAAGCAGGTAGGTTCCTCTCCCAAATCATCCAACGTGCATTACAGGATAAGACCCAGGTGCTAATTTTGATACTGTTCTCTAGCAGTTTCCCCACAGCAAGCACGGCTACTTTGCCAAGTGAGAAATGAAAGAATTCCTCTGTTTCAGGACCAAGTAACTGATCCAGCACAGGGATCAAAGTTATTTTAAAAAGACTCTCAAAAGCAACTGGGCTAATGAATACTTAACACATCCACTGACRCATTAAACAGCTGTCAGCCCACGGTAATGCAACACTACCATTTCATTCTCCTTTGCTACAGATTTTGCCTTTTTAACAAACATTTCCCTCAGAGAGAATGAGTGAAGGTACAGAAGAAGCAAGAGAGGACTGTCGCAAGCTGCCAGCCTCCCCAGTGCTCTCCCCGTGTCGTTGAGCACTGTGTAAGCAGGCAAACCAAGCCACCACTCACCCCGCTCCGGCGGGACGTCATGGCCACGACGGGAGACCACTGGTTCGTCCGGGGGTTGTACCTCTCCGCGCTGCTGAGCTCGGTCGTGTCATCTCTGCCTCCCACGGCGTAGATCATGTCCTGGTACACGGCGCAGCCCAGGTGCTTCCTCCTCGTGCCCATGGGTGCAATCGTATGCCAGCGGTTCTCCTGAGGGTTGTAGCGTTCCACTGGAGGGGACAGGACACAGCTTTGGGCAACAAGGCTGGTGGAACGGGGGCAGTTTGCATTTCTGAACTGTGTAAGACACTGCAATTCCCCACGTGCTAAAAACAGTACGTGCCAGGTTGTGATCACCCGCTCTAATGCTCTCCACCTATAAAGGTCTGCCTGTTCTCTGTCCCATCTCCAGTCCCTGGAAGGCTACAGAGTCAAGTCATATAATGCATCTTCACTCAAGACTGAGTGGGTCAATGCTATAAACTGATCACATTTTCAGCTTGCAGTAGTGTGACCTACAGCATCCTCCTTCCTACAGCAACAAAGGCTACTGCAGGAAAAAGACACACCTACAAGTGCTCAGCAAACMAACAAAGCATTGGCTTCAGGACGCACTGTCAGATGTAGCTTTATCGACAGGAGGGAAAAGACAGATATATACAACAAGGTAATAAGCACTTAGAAACCTAGAGAATGAATTACTCTATAGCAGAAGTATGTTAAAAGCAGGAAACACGTAGCAAACTGTTCCCTAAAATCCTCAGCTGCCACCCAGGAACGCTACAGGCACAACAAAACAAGACCAATGGCAAGTATGACTRCAGTAAGGGACAGCAAAAGGCGTACCAGTGTTGAGAGGAGAAGTTCCATCAGAGCCTCCCACTGCATACAGGAAGCCTCCTAACACGGCCACTGCCACTCCCAGGCGCCTGGTGCTCATGGAAGCCACACGAGTCCACTTGTTCTCCTTCGGATCGTACCTGACGAAACAATAAAACCCTCAATGAGGCACAGACACCTCCCCAAAAGGGCAGGCAGACTGTCCTTACTTGCCTCCAAACAATAATCCCCCTGAAATGCGTACATCATTTACCTCCCCCTCTAAAGTTCATCTGCATCTTACTAAGAGATCTTCCTCTCCTTCTGCCCCATTCCTTTTTTCTGAGATACCTTTCCACAATGTTGAGACAGGAGACACCATCTTGGCCACCCACAGCATAGAGATAGCCCCCAAGAACTGCCACTCCAACGCTGGTCCTGCAGGTGCTGGTGGGGGCCACGTCGCTGCTCCACTGGTTGGTCTTTGGATCGTACCTAGAAAAACACACCAAAAGGCACAAGTTGCTTGTCTAGGGAAGTCTCAGACTCTCTCATGCTTAGAGGCTACCGGGGCAGTGGAATTTGCCTATCTTAAGCTTGAACTGCAAGTCAGTTACTTAGAAGGAAGTTGGATCAAAGCCCTCGGGCAATGCAATGCACCCAATACAAGTTACTCCAGGGATTCCAAACTGCGGTTTGAGATGATTCAAATTGAAGATCAAAGCCACAGGTTCACAAAAGAGCAGGTTACCAAGCCAGGCTGGCATGTGGCAATTTGCCTCTGTGCAAACAGCAGCACCAAGAGCTACTCTGCTGCATGTGCAGCCCTCACCAGAACTCCCACAGCACCAGGACCGGCACTTCTAGATGAAGACGAGCCAGCTGGACTGGCTTGGGAAGCCAGAGACTAGSAAGTAAGGTAGAAAATAAACGCAGGACTTGGAGGATGTCAGGCCTGCATCCTCATCTGGGAAGCTAGGAATATGTAAGAAGGTATGTGGAAAGAATGGGAGGTTTGGGAAGGAAGAAGATATGTTTTATAGCTGTTGGATTCCTTGAAGGATCGAGGCTTAGAGCACCAAGAAAGCATGAGACTCAGGGCTCAAAGGCAYGGGGACTGCCAACATGCAGCTCCCAAAAGCAGGCAGTTTAACAAGGCTTGTTCAACTTATGTCTTTTAGAGGTCTGAATCTGACCCATTTTCCTTGTTCTGTAAAAGTATTTACAAGATTGCTTAATTCTCTAGTCATCAACACACAACAAAACGCCTGAGTGCTTTYCTTCAACATTGCCACACATGCAATAACCTCAACTTGCTCAGCAATGCTAAGAGCGAACCAGCAATTTCAAAAGAAGGTCAACCAAGACCATCACTCCTTCCAGCGAGACCTGCCTCATATATTCCTTCCTTATACCAAAGACTACGTCTTGGCTCATTAAGCTGAGGATAACATGACACGAGCTGGTGTGCCTGGAGACCTAGTTTAGCAGTACGGCAATACAATATTGAAGAGGTAGGCAAAGGAGGAGGAAATGGGGATAGCATTGATATAAATATTAGGTTTTCAAACATCACCACAGCCAGCAAAATGGATCCATTTTTTAAGAGGTTACACCAGGTTTAAATGCTCGGAATAAACTCTCAAGAGCATCATCCCTATGGAGACCTACCTTTCTACACTGTTAAGATAAGAGGAACCATCATGGCCTCCCACAGCATAGAGGAGGTCATCCAGAACACTGACTCCGACACCACAGCGTCTTTTGCTCATGGAAGCCACCATCCGCCACTCATTGGTTTGAGGATCATAGCGCTCCACACTGGAAATTGCATCCCCGCTACACCAGCCCCCCACTGCRGGAACCAAAACACAAGAAACAGGGTCATGATAATGCATCACGTTCATGTATTCTGCTCTATGGACTCCTCCGGGTCTCGCCAGCCTTAACCCACCTCTCCGGGTCACTCATCCTGAGGAMCACCATTAGAAGAGCAGGTGTGATTTTCAAAAGGACTAGTCTAAGCTTGGAATATTAATCTATACAAAACTGAAATCACTAAGTATTTTTAATGTATATATCACCTCACAAGGAAGAAGTTGTAAAGTCTGCTCTTACAGGGGTACTATAACCAGAAAACCCACGGACTTAAATCTCCTAAGCCAGCAAGAGCTGCACGCACCTGCAAAGAGCACCTCTCCACAGCGGATGGGCTTGCGTGGTCTTGTTCGTGGTCCCTGCATCAGTGGCCGTTCTTGGGGCAAGAGCAGATAATTTTTAGCTTCATCCACTAGGTCCCTGTGCGAGATAGGAAAAGATTAATTCCAAATGTTCACACAGTTGTGGTGCCTTGAGAGAAGGTACAAACCAAAACTGAGAGTAAGAGCAGCCAATGCTACTTATGCCGTTCAGTTATTTATGAGCTACTTAAGTGCATGAATAGCTCCAGTTGTCACCCAAGGAGCCATCAGTTGTTTACAGTGACACAGATGTAGACCAGTATCAATATTTGGCCAGTGTTAATGTTAGGTATTACTAGCAATAAAGGCTGATAACAAGACTGTGATGGGAGATTCATCAGGCTTACAATGCAGGAAAGAAACCCCCCGTCCACCTCAAGCTAAAACTTAATGGTTTTGCCCAAGAACAAGAAAGTTGCTGAAAAGCACACATATACATAATACACACACACGACCAAAGGATGGAGATACTACCCTTCTGATGATTATTTTCTCCATCAGCTCTGGTCATCTCACACTGTCCATCCATTCATGACTTGTCCCCTGGACTAAT